GACATAGGGGTAGGCAGAGAGTTCATGAACAAAAACCAAACTGCATGAGAAATACTTCAAAGAATCAACAACTGGGATCTCATCCTACTGAAAAGTTTCTGCACATCTAAAGAAATCACCAGCAGAGTAAAAAGAAAACCACAAATAAGGAAAAAATTTTAGCTGACTGTCCCTCAGACAGAGGTCTTCTATCTAGAACATACAAAGAATTAAAAAACATCAGCCCCCTCCAAATTCAAAGACCCAATCCAAAAATGGGCAGCTGAGATGAAGACACACTTCTCAGATAAAGAAATACAAATGGCAAATAAACACATGAGAAAATGTTCAACATCATTAGTCATTCGAGAAATGCAGATTAAAACAACACTGAGATTTCATCTCACTACAGTAAGAATGGCTATCACCAGGAAATCAACCAATAACAAATGCTGGCGAGGCCGTGGAGAAATAGCAAGGCAGAGGGACCCAGGTCGTGGGTGATGTCAGGAAAGCAGCCCACAGGGACTGATGCTCCAGATTGTTGGTAGTACAGGCTTGTGTGCACGCCAGTGTGTTTGAAGCGCTGGGCAGTGCTTCCCGAGGCTTCCGGTGGGTGGAGTTAGAGACCCGCCCTGACAGGAGTCAGGGAGGCTCTAGGGTATTTTGTACTGCAAGTTTGTTTCCATTCCTTTGCGGCGCTGATTCAGAGGCTTTGCTATCTGCAGTGGAGAAATGTCTGGGGCCTTCCACCTCCCAGGCAAATGCTGCTTTGCAGAGAACTTTTTACCCCTTTGTTCCCTAAAATGTCCCCCAAAGTGAAATATGTAGGCTTTGGATATGAAACTGGCTTGGGCAACCTTCCAGTCTGCACTCAGGAGGAATGGGTAGTCTGAAATACAAGCGGGAAGTTGGCTCTTAGCTGTGTTTCACAAAGAGTGCTTGGTTATTGTCACCCACGAAGCCAACCCCTGGTTATCTAGCTGTTCTCATGGTGTGGTGCAGCCCACCCCCACTCTTGTTGGGGCTGCACTGCCCAGAGCACTCTCTTCAGGGTCACCGTAGCCAGCAGTCCTGGTAAGATGCGGGCCAAGCTGGCCTTGGGGCTGGCCTTGGTGGCGCTGGCCTGTAATCCCAAGCACTGTGGGAGGCTGAGGCAGGTGGATTGCAAGTTCAACCCCAAATGGGGCAGTTTAGCAACTTACACTGAGACCCCGTCTCAATATTATAAATAAATAAATAATATTTTGGAATGCGTATGTATAATATATATATTTAATTTATTTTCAAATAAAAGAAGGAAAACATTAACAAACGGACATCCATTTACAAAATAGCATAAGAACCATACAAGCAACACTGAATTACAGACAAAATGGTAGGAAATTAACAATGGTTCTTATATTATGTATTGGTATCTTCAAAGTGGTTTCTCAGGAACAAAGGGGTGAAAAGTTCTCTGCAAAGCAGCATTTGCCTGAGAGGTGGAAGGCCCCAGACATTTCTCCACTGCAGATAACAAAGACTGTGAATCAGCTCTACCGTGAATGAATTAGGAAGCATCCGATACCCGCTAGGCGAGGTTGTATTTTCCAGACAGTTACAGCACTTTAAGGTTCACAGCTCTCTGAATCTACCCAAGACTTGAAGGAGAATTTACGCACTCTTATGGTTTGTATCCAGACGTCCCCCTGCAGCCTCAGGGTCAGGCAGTCATAGGTGGGACCTTTGGCAGATGACTGGAATATGGGGAAGATACAGCTGGCTGGATCTTAGGGGTGGGGTCTGGTCAGAATAGAGGGTCCCTGGGGGTGAGGCCCAGAGGGCTTTCTGTACCCCGGGCTCCTCCCTAACATTCTCGGCTTCCTGCCTGTCACAGCATGAGCAACTGTGCTCCGCTCTGCAGGGCCCTTGTGCCGTGCTGCCCCGCCTTGGAGCCGCCCCCGATGGATCGAAACATCTACACCGCGAGCCTGAATAAACCAGTCGTGGGTGTCAAGCACTGTGTCTCAGTGACAGGAAAGGGGCTAAGGCGCCCTCTTTCCTCGAACGTTAGACGTGGAGAGGGTTTCCATCACCTCACCTAGTCAGAGTGTGGCAAAAATTATGCTGAGTTATGAAGGGGGATGTGGAAAAAGGATATACAGAAGCTTCTGCCCAGCCTTCCCTGCGATGCCACCCTCGGAATCCAGTCACTGTGCTTGAGGAAGGGAGGCCCCCGGCCCTGACCGAGGGCCCAGCTGCCAGCCAGCCCCACCCCCCACAAGACAGGTGAAGAGCCATCTTGGAAGCAGACCCAACCGCGCTGTGGAGCTGCCTAACACTGCGTGGAGCCTCTCCAGAGCCCGGCCCAAATCACAGCCCCGTGTGAGGTAAATGGCTGCTGCAAGAAGTTTCGCAGTGGTTAGTTACACAGTAATAGATGGCTGTAATAATCGAGGTCAGCCGCTCAGGGTCACGACGATTGTCACCGCCTGTATCTCTGCACCAAAACCTGCAGCATACGCGTCAGTACACTGACATCAGTGAAAGATGGTCCTGAATACTGGAGTAACGGGAACGCCTCGGCACCAATGCTCTTTATGTACGGAGGATAAGGGTGTAAGCAAACAAATGCCGATGACTCAGAATTCAAAGTGATTTAGAAGAAAACAATGAAAATATAAAACACAAGTTAAAATTTTAAATGTGATTTAGGATCAGACTCCAAATATAAAGATGTATGAAGAATACCATATAAAATTGATTTTGTATTTATTTTCCTTTTGAAGAGCACACACTAGCCAGGCAGGGTAGCATATATTTGCAACACCTGCCCTCCGGGAGGCTGAACCAGGAGGATTGCAAGTTTGAGCCCTACCTGGGCAAATGAGAATTAGCAAGCCCCTATCTCAACATAAAAAAGAAAGGGCTGGGGATGTAACTTAGTGTGACGCCCCTGGGTTCAATCCCCAGTACAGGAGAAGAACAAAAAGTACACAACAGCGAGATAATGATGAAAAAAGCTACATCAAAACATATTTTTACAAACACCCAAAGGCTGTACTTCCAGGGTTCATTTCTAAAGTTGGTTAAAAAACACCCAGGGGCTAGAGGTGTAGCTCAGTGGTCAGCTATGTGCTTAGCATGCACGAGGTCCAGAGTTCCGTCCCCAGCGCGCACGCGCACACACACACAAATTAAGACAAACATTAAGCGATAAGAAAGCAGTGCATCACAGTCTCAGTGGGAACTAAAAATTAATTTTCTTCGCTTAACAGTCCAAACAAGTGACTCTTCATTGACCCCTGCAATCTCAAGCGTTTTATATGTTACAAACGTTGTGAGCGGCTCAGCCCTCCTCAGTGGAGGTGGGGGATGGTAAACTCAATGAAAGCGTGTCAGTACAGACGTCCAAGCACAGCTAGAGACACGGGCACGGTAGAGAAACGAGGCGAATGAAGAGGTCCTTACTCAGCACTTACAAAGCAAAAGGAATGATGGTGCTGATTTTATTACTGTTAATTAACAGAATCAAAGCGCCCATGGCCTTAAAAAACAAGTTTATTTATGAAATGGGTTTTAAAGGAGTGACAAAAACATAAGGCGATAAAATCCCCCCAGTCTTCTACATCTCGTCATCGTTTATCCCAGGCAGCAGCCGTTTCACTGACTCAGCTGCTGCACGTTAGGTACAGAAGAGACCTTTTTAAGCCATGGAATTTCTTTTCATGAGTTACACTGCTTCAAAGTTACATAAATCCAGTCTGATGGTGCCACTTTTGTACTTTATAAAATAATACTCTGAACAGAAACTTGCACTGAAATCTCTCAAAATGTACTAATGAATTTTAATTCACAGTTCTTCTAAGACAAACTATTTAAACAAAATGAAGCGACTTCAACCGCAACATTAAAACACTACAATGCAGCATTAGCGTAAAGATAAAATAGGGAACTCTGGGGATAGAGAACAATTTAAAATGTTTAAATTTAGAATGTGTTTAAATATCAAGAACTATGTACTTTGGTTATTTTCTTTTATGTATGCATGTATGTATGTATTTAGATTCAAGATCTGAGTTGTCCTGGTTAGCCTCAAACTTGTGGGTACCCCAGCCTCGGTCTCCTGAACAGCAGGGACTACAGGTCTACACCACCACATCCGGCTCCCGACTCCGTATTTAAAACGGAGGAGAGGAAAACAGCTGGTGCTGGAGACGCGGTCTCTCATTCGCAGCAGCAGGCCAGTGGCCCTTCAGCTCACCCAACCTACCCGGAGAGGCTGGCCCAGGGTTACCTCTGGGCCTTGGTTCATCAGCCATGTCCAACTTCATCCAGTGAGGGTCAGCGGATCCCAAAATACACCCTGAACTCCGTAAGTGCCCCTCTGGAAATTCTCAAGTCCAAAGCCTTCAGGTCAGACCGTCTTGAGTTTGGTAACGATCAGCACTCTCACCATCTGGTCGAATGAGGTACAGACGCAAAGGCCCCTTTTGTCCGGACTCCAGTCTAAGCTTGAAATGGGCTGCGTGGACAGTGTGACGTTCTGCAGGAGGCTGACGGAGCCGGCCACGCCCATGTCCACGCCCTCGGGGTCTTTCTTTGATCTCTGAACAGGGTACTCGCTGAAAACAAGAGGAAAGTGGGAAGAGAAGCAAAATCACCACTCATCACTTTTAGAGACAAGCTTCAATGACTATTTTTATTTCTCGGTGGACCACTGGCACTAATGGATAAAGAATCTTTTTGATGCTGAGTTGTATGTAAATAAGCACATGGTATTTCATATAGCCCTTTTCCCCAAACATCTCATAGGAAAGGTTACTTCTACTAAAATCTTCTAGTCTTCATCTCTGTTCAGTTTTTGCCTGTATTTCTCATTTAATAAGAAAGTCCTAGGTTGATGCAGCATTCTTTAATAATAAAGTGACTTGGTGCTCTCAGTAATCATTGATTGTAATTCTTCTTCAAAAAATAAATTCTAAAGAAGTAGATGAATTTCTGTAGGAATTCTTAAGTGCTCGATAAATATTTACAGTTTAATTGCACCACTACCAAAGAAGACCACCAAGTGGGAACCAAGCTAAAAAATCATTTCACTTGCACCAATTCTCTTTTTTTAAAAAGAATACTTGACAGCAAAGCTCCAAACCAACTTGAAGATTAGACTAGACATCTGTCACAGTAAGAATTAAAGTTCACATTGAGATAAATTTCCAATTTCTAATTACACACAGGCCCAACTTCACTGATATAACCAGTACATTCATTATGGTATAAAACTCTCGCTGCAGATGTGTCCCTGTGTGCACTGTAAATAAAACTGGTACTGTGATGGCCCCTGGGATTCACAGAGTACAGCTCATGGTTGCAGATACGCAGAAAGCAAACATAACAATGTTCTTGGAAACCAGTCAGAAGACTGGGGCTCTGGTTTTTGATTTGATCACAATAATGCCACCTCAATTGAGGCAAGTGAACTATCAGGAGCTAAAACAAACACTTCCAATCTTTTCCTTACCTTCTAGAGGTAGTGTTCTAATCAAGCATAAGATAGTATGTGACAAAAGTCTTGAGTCAAATTTTGTATACTTAAAATTAAGAAAACCTAGCAAAAACTATGATTTCAAATCTATGGAAAAAAGTCTCGCTACGCTCTTGTGACATACAGCAGACACAACTATAATGAAACAATATATTTAGTATGTCAAAAGAAGAGTGATATTATGTATAAAATAAGTATTTTTTTAAATGCTTAGAAAACAACAGTTATGTAACACTATGACAGTTAAAATCAGACCAAAATGAACTAAGTCAAAGGAGGAGAAAGACAAAAAAGTTCAATGTAATCCTACTTTACTCCCACAAGTAACTTTAAAAAGGAGCAGTGTGCATCGGGAGGGACTTACTACTTCCAGAGGTGAAGGCTGCCTGCGCCTCCGGCTGTCAGAAAGAGCTCCCTATTCTGCGGCAGGTGTCGGACTTGCCACACAGTGGATTTATGAGCCTGGATGGGACGAGAGGCACACGCTGGTTTATGCGCTGCACGGCACCCTGGAAGAGAAGCCTCACAAACGAGGAATTTTCACTGCCACAACTTCGGCTGCGAGAAAAGGAACTAAGGATGTTTCTAGCACACCCCTTAATAATGGTTATAAACATTTACAGAAGACCATCAGAAATCAGAAAATATCACTTTTCTCTATTGCTTTATAGAACAAAGTTCTTACTGGATTAAAGAGATATTAGATTGAAAGTCCATTTAAGTTTATAGAACCATACAAACTATTACATTAAGAGTTTATATATTTAAATCTCTCTAGCTGATTCTAAGAGGGGAAAACTCAAAAACCAAAAATATATACTTCTTCCTAAGGGGAAAAAAAGTACAGACTGATATTTAAGTTGATTTTAGTTTTTAGAACAGTTTTAGATCCTCAGTAAAAATGATGGAAAGTACAGAGTTCTAGTTTACGGATTAAATTTTAAGCTAACAGCTCTGAGAGCCTTGTCTTCAATTCACCGCCTTCTGACTTCTTCAAAGTACAGATCAGGGGATTTATAGACAGTGTTTATGGTCGTAACAAGATAAGGCTCTTCCCAGGCACATTAAACACAAAGATTTAAAAATGGCGACTGGAAGAAGGGTACCAGTTTGTTAACACCTCAGCAACAGTGGGGAAATCATCCTGGCTGCGCTCTGTTGGCTGGGGTGGGGACCCTCCGGAGCGAGACGGAGGGACGGGGAGAGCAGGAAGGGAGCGGGCTCCCTCTGCTTTGGAGAAGCAGTGAGCCTGGCTGACTCCATCTAAGCCCTGCTTTCCCGCTTACACTGCAGTGAGTGGTTAGTCTTGACTTTGGCTTTTCATAGTCTTTTGAGAGCACCAACTACAAGATAAATACACACATCTCAAAATATACACTGTTAAGAGTCCCCAAATGATTAGGTTCAGGCAGCCAAAACTTGTTTTTGTTTTGTAGCTTAAACTTTGTTTTTGTTTTTGTTTTTGTTTTTTTTTTATAGGAGTTGAGAAAAACATCAAAACACAGGCCAGTATGGGAGAAGATAACCTCTTAAAATATACCAGAGACATTTATTTGACAGACTGAGCAATTACTGGCTTAACTAAGTATCAGGGAAAAAATTTCGAAGAGGACACTATTTTTTGCAGATAATCAAAAAATGTGCTGTGAATTATATACAAAACAATTTAGTAAAGTGCTGACTGTTGTGGATAGTTACTTAACATATTCTGAAACAACAAAGGCAAAACAATATTACAATTTGTAGCTACTTTGTTAAGAAGTTAGATTGTCCAGAGGTGGTAGTAGAAAGTTATATACAATAATAATTACTGTAAAATAGGGATGGTTGTGAAATCCTACAGAATCTACAATGGAGGGAGAGGAAGCAAGGTAGTGATTTCTTATTTCCGAAGCAAATTGTCCACTTTAATCTTACGGAAGCTACCAATCTATACCTGGTTTGTTCTTTTATAAGGAAGAAAGCTCAAGGTGTAGGGATATGGCTCTGTAGTATGGTGCCTGCCTGGCAAGCACAAGGTTGTGAGTTTGAGTTCCGGTACCAAAAAATAAGCTCAGAATCACATTTCCAATCCATATTTTGCAAGTGTTAGGATGTGCCAGCATAAATTTTATATAATCCCCGTACCTTATTCCAGATATTTTCTTCTTCTCTGGTAGTATCTTCCCTTCAATTTGATTTCTTCATCTATTTTTTTTTTTTTTCCTAGTACCAGGAATTGAACTCACGACCTCACACTTGCCAGGCAGGCGCTGTGCCACTGAGCTAAATCCCTAGCCTCCTTCATCTTTTTATAATGCTAGAATACTGTGTTTTCCTTTAAGTTACCTCAAAAGCAAGGCAAAAGATAAACAAAAAAGATCTTTTGAATCCCAGTAATCAGTACTTAAATAATTTCATTTAATGTAGCCACCTAGAATGCAAAATAAAATTGATGAAATGATATAATGGATCTATACTGATATATTCCGAAAGTATGCAAGTAGGTTATATTTCTAAAAACATTATAAATTTATTAGAAAACATCAGGCTAGGTTTTGCTGATCAAATTCCTAACATCAGTGAGGTTTCTTGTGATATTCTTAAACTGCAAAATAAGATTCCTAGCTGAGATCTCTATCATAATCAAAAAGCTTAAATTGATAAACATATTCTTTGCACAAAAACACTTGTCAAGATCCCACAAGAACTTAACAAAAATAGCTCCTTTCATATAAAGACCCAGCGGAACCTTGTGACTCATTCTATTTATTAGTCTAAAACAACCTGTCATTCCTCTTCATAAAGACATTTCCCTCATATTTACCTTTTCTGAAACAGAGGCAAATCCTTTGGTAGGATGCTGTGTTCTCATGTCAAAAACATGAAACTTTCCTTCCAAAGATGTCGCTACTAACTTATTCATACTTATGTCTTTTCTGTCAAATTCCAAGCTACATACCTGAAAATAGAGAATATGTTACGGATAGCTTCATTACTCCTCAGGAGGCTCTCTTACACTAGGTAAAACTGCTTTCCAGTGATAAGATCACGTAAAAGCACTTACATAATCATTTTATCTTTTTACTCAGTACTTCAACAACTTTTACTCTTAAAAAAAAAATTGCCAGGCATGGTGGTATACGCCTGTAGTCCCAGCACTTTAGGAAGCTGAGGCAGGAGGGCTGCGTGTTAAGAGTCAGCCTGGGCAACTCAGCCAGACCCTGCCTCAAATAAAAAACTAGAAAAGGGTTGGGGATGTAGATCAGTGTAAAGGCCCTGGGTTCAATTCCTAGTAGCGTATAAATAAATAAATTAAATAAACAAATATCTGATCAATAAAACCATCTTCAGCTCCCACACTCAGGGGCTACATCTGGAAAGTGAAAACGTAACTCTTTACGTTATCTGACACAGCGACGTCAAGGCTGCCTTTAGAAAGCAAAAGGGAAATAGGTTCTTCAGTCAGCGCCTACAACCCCAGAGCACTTGGAGAGGCTGCTGCCGCCTTAGGCTTGCTGATACCCGCAGAAAAGTCCTCTCACTGACAAAGGGCCTCCGGGCGAGGGCCTCGCCAGCCTGATACACACTGTATCTGCAGTGTGTGCGCGCGCGTGCACTCACTTTCTGCAGAAAGGCAGCACGACGGTCACTGGGTCCTCAAAGGAGTTTGACCCAAAAGGTTAAGAAACACTGGCAGACGGCTGACAGATGGGTTAACAGGAGTGCTTTAAAAACTCTGCAGTAGTTCTACGTGAGGGAAAACACTCAGAGATTAAACAGCATCAGAATGTACATTACCCCATTTTTTATATTTGTTTCCCACCGCAGGGACATATTTCTGAGGTCAAACAGTTTGATATCGCCATTGTCATAGCCAGCACAGACGACACGTTCTTCTTGATTGTAAGCATTGCCTGGAAATCAAGGTACAGTATTTCAGGCCTGCAAATGATAATCTGAAGGCTCTAAAAATTGTTACAAAACTACACAGATCACTTAAGTCAAATCTAATCTGAAAAATCACATCAAGTACAAATCCCATTTTATCAATCCTGACAAAATAGCAAGATTATCTATTTTTTTTTTTTTTTAAAAAAAGGCTTATTAGAGCTGGGTACAGGAGTGCTCACCTGTAATCCCAGCTACCCAGGAGGCTGAGGCAGAGGGATCACAAGTCTGAGGCCAGCCTGAGAAACTTAGGGAAATTCTGTCTCAAAATAAAATTTTAAAAGGCCTGGGGATATAGCTCACTGATACTGCATCCAAGTACTGGTGGTAGGGGGAACTCGTTCACTGAAATTCTGTATTCAAGGGGTACACTGACCATTTACTGAATTCTAAGTTGAAAGAAAATGCTCTCCCTATACTTTGCCTGCAAAGACTAGCAGGCCAAGTACAGTTCAAACACAGCTCCCACATGTCTACGAAGACACACCCAGGCGTACATCTATTGAGTCCTTTGACACTAGGTATTGTGAATACAAACAGAACAACTGCAACACTGATTTATTTTGCAAAATGTTGTTCTGGTATTATTCTGTCTTTCCAAGAAAATCTGAAATAAGGTGAAGTATTGGTGCATTTTTGGTAGTGCGGCTGATCCCACCTGAAGTAACTTTATAATCTGTAGTGAAGTTCACACTGCTAAGATGTAGGGATCGTTTATCCTGAGTTCCCTCACTGAGGATATGGGGGGACTGCCACTGTGCTAGGCTACCTGGACATCTTATCCCAATGCTGTGATTCTTCCCTGCCTCCAACTTCCCCCTCATGAACTCCAGCAGCTTAATCTGATGATAACCCAAGCTGATTTCACCAATGGGGTTCCCTAGTAAACCACCCCAGCCATTGCGCAGACTTTTTATTGAAAAGGATCATTCACTCCACAAAAAGCATCGTCTACTCCACAGTAAGTCCCCAAATTCAGTCATCAGAGACCTATTCCTTTTCCTTCTTCCTCATATCCAAAACACTTCCAAATTCTATTTATTCAGCCACAGTATTATCTTTGGAATCACGCTTTCTGTTCCATTCTCATTGCTTCTAACCTCTCTGACCTAGAAATACTACAAAGCCTTCTGAACTCATGCGCTGAACCACTCCTCTCCCTGCTACACAGATAATGTTCACTAATTTTCTTAAAAGCTTGACTCACAACTCCTCCCCCACGCCCCACAAAGGCTTACGGCTCCCTCCAGACCATCCCAACACCTATGCCGAGGCTCTAAACCGTCTCCAGGCTACTCCCACTATTCCCTCATAGACATTATCTTGGGCACTGTTAAGTTATGCCCCATGTTTGAAAGTCCCTTCCAATTTCAGGAGTAAAAATCCTATGAATCTTTGGCAGATCAAAATGCTGTTCCTCCCCAGCATCTCTCCCTCTGGATTCCTCTTGCATCTATCTATGCCACTTGGGAGCTTTTGATTACTCCTGTCTTGTACTGTAGATGCCATGTCCTCTTTACTAAACTATCAGCGTGACACTAAAATATGAGCCTTTTCCAATATGCATGCCCACAGTGGCTTGCACATAGTTGGCATTCATTTAAAAAAATTCTCAAACCAGGCATAGTGGAATGCACCTGTTGGTTCCAGCTACTTGGGGGCCACTTGAGCCTAGGAGTTCGAGGCCAGCCTAGGCAACGAAGCAAGACCTCATCACAAAACAAAACCCTCCAGTCAATGGATGATTTAAAAATTTAATATGGTATATATCAAATCATCCTTATGTTCCTGAGATCAGTAGTGAAAAAGCTTCCATGGATCCAAAGATAACTACTTTTTAAGTACATCAATTTAAAAATAATCACTCTAAATACTAGTTCTGAAACTTCTCACCAAGGTGTACACATCCTAAATTTATATTATTGTGTATAATGTATACATACTTAGTACTTATCACACAGTAATTTCTTTTAGAAGTACTTATCACACAGTAATTAGTACTTATCACACAGTAATTTCTTTCAGAAATCTAAGACTTTTCTGTGACTAAGTAACAGTCTAATGGAAAAAGTTAAACAGTTCACTTGGGCTGTTATATTCTGCTTTTCATTCCTGTTACCTGTATGATGACACTAAAAGAGAAAGAAAGAAAGAAAGAAAGAAAGAAAGAAAGAAAGAAAGAGAGAGAGAAAGAAAGAAAAAGAGAAAGGAAATACAGATTTAAAACTAAATATGGCCCAAATCCTTTAGCACTGAAACTTAATTTTATTTTGGTGTTCAGTAAAAGATCCAAGGGCAAGCATCAATTAGTCCTACAAAATCACTATTTTTGTAAGTATAGTAAGGAACACAGTTACCAAATTTATAAGAAATAATTTTATCACGATATAACTATATATAAAACACATACAAATCAATATAAAACATAAATTTTGTTAGGTTATGCTTAGTATTTGATGCTCTGCTTTGCCTCATGAATGGCATCTGGTTCTAAACTAGGAAAATCTTACTTAATTAATCAGAAGCAAATAATAACAGCAAATATATTTGAATACCTAACCATCTAAACCTAATTCTGGGCACTTGACAGGCACTGACTCAGTGAATATTCGCTGAATACTCAAAACAGTGCTGTCAAGTAAACGCTATCAGTTCCACCTGTAAATGGAACAATTACGGAATAGAAGTTTGGCAACCTGTCCCAGACATACAAGGAGCAGCAGAGTGAAGACTCCACCCTCGTCCCACCAGGACTCGCATTGACCACTGTGATATCTGTTTCAATAAATTCAGAAAAATCCACACAACAGACTACACACGGACCATCAGGATTTTTTTTTCTTGAGGCACTGTGCTTTTCACCACCTGAACTTTAAAAGCAAAAGTTCCTCAGTAATTTACCAAATGCCACAGTCCAGCAGTCTCTCTTATTTTCTCCTTTCACAGGTTCCATGTTGGCAACAGGATCATCCTTTTGCCTAGGGTCCCACACTTTCACAGTTCCTGCCACACATAAAAGGGAGTTAGCAAAATTCCACAGTCAACAATCACATCTCCTGTCTGCATTCTTTCCACAGCGTCCAGTGTATATGGCAACATTACAGCTATGATGACATCTAAGCACATTCACATGTTTCTGCATTCTAATTGGTTAAATTATATCTGACAATAATAATGGGTCTATAATCCATGTTACTATCTACATGATTTCCAAATAGATACATAGAAAAACTGTTCCTAAGTTATCTACAAGTTACGATTGATAAAGAAAATACAAATGCTATGTAATTCAAGCAATACCTTATTTTCTTTGAACCTAAAAGAAGTGTATTATTTACTTAGAATACCAGTATCATCTTGAATTTTTATTTTTCTTTACTACTGATATAACCATTGGCATTTTTCTTATATACAAGAAGAAGCTCCATTTTTCTATGTATGGTCTTTTATATGGGGTTTTAGAATACTATTTCACATACAATTAAGTTTAATTTCCCCAAGGAAAGAGTACAGAAGGCAACATTAAATAAAATTAACAAATAATTCTTCTCAATTTAACTTCAATCCCCTCCTGTTAATTCTTATAATAGGACTACTAACTAAATAGTGTCCCTGGTACAAGAAACGCAAATGCCTGTGATAGAATGGCTAAAAGTAAGTGTCTGGGTGAGAACAGGGAAAAGAGGAGGAACCCTTGGAAGGGGTAGTAATAAACTTACCCCCCATATTTATCTTCAGGGATACAGAGGGTCATTAAAAAGCTCTTATAAGATGAAGGAAAAAAAAAACTTCCCACAAATATGAGCGTTGCTCTGCAGCATTTATACAGATTTGTAAGATTTTTAGGACGTTCACAAGAGTTAAATTAACAAATATAAGAAAGTAATGAAACAAAATTAAAGAGTAAGCAAATGTAAGACGTTAGCACAAGTGGAAGAGGAATACTATTTTTATCATCATAAAATTAGGGGGAAAGCCGGGCATGTTGGTGTACGCCTATCACCCCAGCACTTGGGAGGCCGAGGCAGGAAGATCATTGCAAGTTTGAGTCCAGCCTGGGCTACAAAGTGAGCTCAAGGCCAGCCTGAACTGCATAGTGAGACCCTGTCTGAAAGAGATTAAAAAAAAAAAAAAAAAATTAGGGGGAAAAGAAAGAAAATCAACGCCAATAGAGTGGGCCGGAAATTTACCTCATCTAGTATAGTGCATGATGTAAACAGGTTCTTTCGAAAGTTTAACAACAAATTTTAAGAATCATAAACTGTATTTATGCTAAAAGAGGTACACATGTAAAATAATTATTTCTTCAATATTTTTAAATCACTCTCCCAAGACAATAAACAAAAGACTTAACGTATACCGAATGCTTATTAATAGGTGCACTGCGACACAGCCATACCCTGGAATATTACAATCATTAAAGTATTAATTATGAAAACTATACAGAAACAGCAATATTTGTATGTGATAAACCTTAAATGCACAAAGTGAGATATTTAATTGTATTCACAGATACATATGCAAAATTGTATATAAATCTGGATATTAAAGAAAAATGGATAGGAGCTGAGCAGGTGGTGTGCATGTCTATAATCCCAGCACTTGGGAGGCCGAGGAAGGAGAACTGAGAGTTCAAGACCAGCCTGGACTACAACGCAAGCTCCAGGCCAGCTTGCACTATACAGAAAACAAACACACAAAGAAGAAAAAGAAATCGCATGTTGCGGTAGTATGACAGGCTGAACGTCATTTTTCCTTCTCTATTCCTTATTGCTTTTATGACTGACAAAAAAGAATTGATTTCTAAAACACAACTGCTCTGAGGAATTATTAGAAAATTTTACCTCACTTTTAAGACAGTCTTTTCATGATGTTGAACAGTCCTGTAAAAACTAGCCAAAACAGCTAGAGTACTAATCTCTAGCACTTTATGAAGCAACAGTAACTCTCAAGTCTGTGAGAGTCGTTCAGAACAAATACGGACACCACAAGAGCTGTCCCTCGGGGTGCGGTCACTGTGGGAGGAAAAGCTCACTTGTACCCTGGCACTCTCCACAATGCTCAGTGCATGGATTATAGAAGTTCAGTTTCCAACCAGCTGTCAATATGACAATTTTCACAAGTACTAATTCTGCTTTATAAAAAAAGAAAATGAAAAGCTGCCACCCACATTACAGCGTCAGCTGCTTCAAAACCTGTAAAGACATTTTAAATCCTTCAAGGTTCAAAGGAAATGATCAATGTTAGTAGCTGAACTAACTCTAAACTAAAATAGTAAGCGCTATGCCTCTAGCTCAAAATACCCCAAAGTCTGAAGTAATGAGGGATATGCAATCAAACCTACCTACTAAAAATGTAGCAGCAGAATTGTTAAGAGATCAAGGTGGCCAAAGGAGGTTCTGTGCAGAGAGGTACACTGTTGCATACATTTCCATTAAAACACAAAACACAAAGCCTTACATACACAGAATACAGCGACTCACCATCTCGGCTGCCCGTCACAATTTCAGGGGCTCCTTCCCCGATTCCAAGTCCTCCAATACCATCCACAGTATTTATAATTTCTTTATGGCCTTTGACAGAATATACGGGGATGTCTGGAGCTTCCAAATTCCTAAACAAAACACATACCTTCTCACTTATACCATATGCAGCAAACGCTTAAATCCAGTACTATACCATACATTTTTGTTTTTGTTTAAAAATAAGGCTTTGCTATGAAGGTAATTTATACATGTACTGATAAATTGCTTTCTCGCCGGGGAGATAGCTCAGTGGCACAGCACCTGCCAGGAAAGCATAAGATCCTGAGTTCCATTCCTGGCACCAAAAAAAAAAGAAAGCAAAAAAAAAATTGTTTTCTCTGCTTCAGATTCTTTCAAGCCTCTAATGAAACCTGTAAGTTTATTCAGCCTGAAATTTGAACTCCTGAAACCACTTAGTGTTCTTTAAAGATAATCTACGTGAGTCTTCCACATGTGACTTACTACGTGTGCTTGTTAAAAAGGCAGATTCTTGGGTTCTTCCTCAGGCAGAGAGAATCAGGATCTTGGGGATGGGCCTCCAACCCGCAGACGAGTTGGTACGTTGCAGTTTGATAAAGACCACTGCTTTAAATGTAGAGTAAATTCAAAGGGATTTAGAATGACTCCAAAGTTGGCTTTGGTAGTTTCATCCCGAGACATTTTCCCAGGCTAAAATATGTGTTGTGTGTACTCTGGATACATTTTCCACCCTATAATGTGTCACTTTGCCAGTGAATGTCATACTGATTTCCATCAAGTGACCACCTCATGGTGGTAACAATACACATTACAGTAGCCTGGCTGAAATTCATCTAATCCAAAGCTAATTTAAAAGGCACTCAGAAAAGTACCAATGAACATATGAGTTTGGGTGATGAATGCCTGGATGAGCTTAGACTCAGATCCCTCATAGCCTCCTCCATCTCCTTCCCATTTTTGATGTTCACTCGTAGTTGTTCTCCATAGTTCTCGTTTTGTTTTTTTTGTTTTTTTGGTTTTTTTCCGGTACCAGGAATTGAACTCATGACCTTGCGCTTGCCAGGCAGGCACTGTGCCACTGAGCTAAATCCCCAGCCCCTCATAGTTCTCACAGTGAGTTAGTTTCCAAAGACTTACACTTTTTTTTAAAGGAATGTTATTCATGAGATATAATTTCAACTTATTGTAGCAAAGATTTATTAGTAAAAAAATCATTAATCAAAAATTTGATTCAGCCAGCTACAGTGGCACACAGCTGTAATCAGCACGGAGGGAGGCCGAGACAGGAGGACGGCAAATTAGAGTCCCACCTGAGCAACTTAGTTTGGCTCTGTCTCAAAACATAAACCAATAAATTAATTAATTAATTATTTTTTTAAAAAGGGCTGGGGCTGTCACTCAGCAGCAGAGTACCCCTGGATTCAATCCCCTGTACTTGGGGAAAAAAATTGAGCTAGTTCAGCTTAGTTTAGACATGACGTTTATCTTTGTACCACTATTATGAAAGAACCAAAAGATTCAACAGGATTGCAACTCCACAAAAAAGAACTGTTTTACTATTTTTATAGATTTTAAAATGTGACTTGTTTTCAACTTGAAGTTCTAAGATTTATCAATGAAAGTAAGTTGGTAATATTTGTACCATATTAGGGAACTCTATGAAGAAGATAAGTCGATAGTTATTCTTGTTTAAATATATTCATTAAAAAAAATAGGCTGGCTTCTCTCCCAATTTCTCTGAAAGTATATGACACAGAATGTAAGAAGTGGTGAATAAATGCTAATTTAACAGCTAAACAGTGAAAGGAAGGGGAAATTAGCTTCATTCTACTTTATAATATGATTCTTCGATAGATGAATATGACAAAGTCATTATGAAATAGTACATTCCAAGTGAAAATTTAGGTAAGTCATATTAGAAAGTAAGACACAGGGAATATAGTTTCTAGAACATTACAATATACTTTAAATAATTAAGATTTTTTGAAAAATAAAGAGGAATTTCAATTCATTCAATTCTAAATATGAAGCTCTAACTAAAGGTAGGATATGAAAAGTTGGTACAATTGTGATTTTGCTCACTCAAAAACAGGTTTACCTTCATTTGTTCAACAGATGTTTTCCTAACAAGTAGTGCTTAGGACTTTAAAGCATTAAATAAGCAAATTGTAAATGATGTGAGAGTTGTACAGTACAAAAATAAAACAAAAACTCAACACATCATTCTGTAATACCAAATCTCTTGGTGAAATGTACACAAGCAAAATCCAATTTTTCAATGTTATACATGTGCATTTTTTTGTATTATTTCACAGCAGTTCAGGGAAACAGAGTTTTATTTATAGATATTGGGCATTAAATGTTAGCACAAAATAGCTTTTTTTTGTTTTGTTTTGTTTTCCAGTACCAGGAATCAAACTCACGACCTTCCGCTTGCCAGGCAGGCGCTATGCTGCTAAACTAAATCCTCAGCCCCTCAAAATAGCATTTAAAAAATAAGTATTGATAATATTCAAAATATCTAAAGGAAAACAGGTTAGTATTTTTAAGTGGATGTTGAATATGAACTCTATAAAAAATACATTAAAAGATAATTCCCATACTTTTATAGTTAAAATTGAGCAGCAGAAGAAATAGTTTAAAATTAGAATTCTTTCCTTCAGAGGAAACTCCAAGTAATCAGAATACCAAAGAAAGTGCTTTGTCTCGTATTCGAACACTGCTTAAACCATCTTACCATATATGAAGGTTTCCACCAAAATCTCCAGTCGCTAAATATCTCTGCTGTAAAGATGCTGCACCAAATGTTCCACATTTAATGGGTTTGGCCTTTTCAATCTTGAAGAGAGGAGACATTATTTATGTAAGCAGTTATCTGCAATTCACAATATTTATGGTTCTATAAAGTTTAAAACACATAAAAAGCAATTAAAACATTTTCTGATAAAAAATTATCATCTTCTTCCTTTAGTCGCTCTCATTTAAATGTGCACAGCTATCAACCAAGTTTTAATTTACTTTTTTCTTACCTTACTAATGACATTCAAATGCTAACAACTCTACCATCTCCATTGGTTTGCAGATACGAAAGCTTTGTTTTTTTATGTAACACCCTTTAAGATCCTCAGTAGAAACGAGAACACAATGAAGATACTGTTCTTTCCAGATGGCTCCAGGAAAAAAAGATGTTTATGTGTCTTATAGTTTCCCCTCCCAAGCCCTATAAATTCAAGGTGTTTACATCTCACTTATTCTGGGACATTTTCAATGCCTAACAATTTGTACACTTGGGTACACAAAACTGCTATTATTATGGACTAGCGAATACTTTAAAATCTCTTTCATTTCAAAGGCTACTATAATAAGTGCCATATATAATCACATTACATAAAACAACCACACACCAATCCACAACTGAAAGTAAGAAGCTTCTGGAAATTACCTAGTAATACCCTCCTGTCATAGAAGACTGAAACCTAGACCCGTAGAGATTTGACCAACTCATACAACATTTACTGAGTTCCTACTATTCCAAAAAAAATCCAAAACCCAAAATGCTCCAAATCTACTTTTTCATCATAGACATGACCATGCAAATGGGAAATTCCACCCTTACCTCATCACATCCTGTAATAGGTCACAGGCAAATCTGAAAACTGTTACCTTCAAAGGAAAGATACCAAACTGAGAACTAGCCAGTCTGTTAGAAGATAGGGTCTATCCTGGAGGTTTTCACCTTTGTCATTGTATGGTTTCTGAAAGTAAGGAAAGAAATAAAATGTGTCTACGTGTCTTAGTTACTTTTCTTGTTGCTGGGACAAAGTACCCACCACCCAAAGATAAAGGGGGTGGACATTTATTTAGCTCAGTTTGCAGAGGTTTCAGTCCATAATCAGCTGGCTTCAAGGCAGTGAGGCACATGGCAGAAGGGTAAGAGTTCATGGCAGTGGAAGACAGCAAAAACGCCAAGAGGAGGGGAGAACATGCCTCTTTCCCTCCCTTATACTGTACGCAGGCTACCTGCCCTGGCAGGTGTAGCACTTACACCTTTACTCCCGGCACTGGACCACAAACCAATCACGAACACTAGAAGTCTGCCCCCCTGACCACATAAGGCTTTGGGGGCCCCACAAACCATACCGCTGCATTTATTGGCACAGACTCACAGGAGTGGCACCACGGGCTAAGGTATAGGAAATGTCTAACGCCCTTTGAAATCTGGCCTTGCCTGGCCCTGGGAGTCTGTTTCCTGCTTCTGCTCTTCTATTACCTTGCAGCCACGCCAGTCAGTTTTCTTTTTGTTCTTCAGACACACTAGTCCTTTCCTTCTAGAGGCATTTGTGGCTTCCACTGCTTGGACAGCTCCTCCCCCACATCATCATGCCTCTCGCCTCCTCATTCAGATCGCAGTTCAAACGGCACATCCTCAGCAACTTTCCATGCCCCTCCAGTCTGAAGTGGAAACCCCAAGTCACCCTCTTTCACCCTATAGAATTTCCTCCACTATAATCATCCACAAATTATTTTATTCACTCAGTTACCTGTCTCCTCTCTTTCTAGAATGTGAGCACCACGAGAACAGGAGAGTGTCTCATTTGTATTACACCCAGTAGGTGCTCAACACTTACAGAATGAAGGTAGAAATGAATATGTATTAATCCTCAGCCCCACTGCTGGGGAGAGAGAAACCAGGGGTACCTTTTCTCCCACATGTGCAGAGCTCTGACAGTGACTGACATCATTTCCACGCAATCATGAAAATAGCTTCCATGTATCAAACACATACATATCAGATACTGTTCTAGATGTGCTTCCAACCTTCCCTGTACAACACAGCTCTGCAAACAAGTGTTAAGAACATCGCCTTCAAGATAAGGTAACAGGTTCAGCAGACTGAGTGACCTGCCATAGGTCTCAAGAGCTAGGGAGACTGTTAAGCTCTTTCTCCTCAAGGAGGCTGCCTCCAGGCTTGTCTGTGAATCTAGCATATGAACAGTTATCATATAGCTCCATTCTATGAAACTGAGAGTCATCCCAAGTACCAAAGAAATGTTCAGTACCGAAATGGACTGGTGAGCTGAACGGTGCGGGTGTGAATTAAACACATTTTCAGGTTTCTGTCTCTTTGTTTTAAAGCTCATTCATTTCCTCACTAGATAAACATAGGGTACTATGCTTTCTTCATGTACACTTCTTTTTGAATACCAAAAAAAAAAAAAATCCAGATTTATAAACACCAACTGTCTGTTGTGCAAGAATCAAACTCAAAAATATATAAATCTATTAAAAATAAACACATTAACACCTTGTCATCTGCATAGAGCAAGCACTACACTTTGTTCAGAAGGGCCAAACACTGCCCTTCCCAAAGCAGGCATGTTTGCTCTTTCCTCAGATATTTAAGGAAATCACAATAGCAGTGAAATCAAGAGAAACTAATTTTTTATAGCTCACAAGAGTTTCCCTGTAACTCTGTTAAATATTTTACCTATAGAAAAGATGCACATAATTTGGCAGAACTTAAAACTTTTCTTGTCAGAAACTGGTTAAAAAATTGAAGACTTGATGCAAATTAGCCCACCGAAGTATGTATTAATAATTTTTGCTATATGATACTGCAAGTGACCACCCAGGATGGTTCACTAGACCTACCTTTGGGTATTCTTTGCTACAGTGATATGTTAACACGATTAAAGAAACCCATGATCGGTAATTCCCTCAACAGCTATTTTTGTTCTGTCTGTGGGTGGGTCTAGTACAGCTTGTCAGTATTTCCTCCTCCACATCCTGGCACTACTTAATTAACATTAAAAGGTTTAGTCAACCAAATGCTAACAAGCGATGAATTCAGTAGGCTTAAAAAACAGAAGTTCATTAGCTTATTACTAATTTTACAGTACAAATATCCACAACCTCGATTCCATTCTTCAGGACCATCCCTGTCCGTACAGTACCTTTGTGCCAATTAGAAAAAAGCTGCATTTTATAAGCAGATGAAGTCTCACACATAGAAAGTCCGATGAGGGAAAAAGAGAACACCGAGCTGGACACCTCTGTGTGGGGCAGCAAACGCCTCAACTGTATACACAGGCCCTGCCCCCACCCCCTGTCTATTATTTGAGCAGTGGGATGAGGGCAGCATCAGCAAAGCTGATTTGCTCCCTTCCCATTTCAGCTTGGATGCACAGGCTGTGCGGCACCTGCTGTAGGGTACTTTTCTCAGGATTAAATCAAGTATGTTTCCTAAAAATTTTAATAACTAATCCACCTGGCCCAATGCTTCTCAACCCTGGTACTCATCAGAATCACCTGCAGAGTCCCAAAGACTACCGATGTGCAGGCCTTCCCCTAGTCTGGATGCATAGGAGCACCACGGCCTCAGACTCTCCAGGGGTGGGACCAACACATGAATATTTGATTTGTTTTGTTTTGTTTTGTTTTGTTTTTTTCCTTTTGAGACAGGGTCTCGCTATGCAGTTCAGGCTGGCCTTGAGCTCACTTTGTAGCCTAGGCTGGTCTTCAACTCACAACAATCCTCCTGCCTCAGCCTCCCGAGTGCTGGGATTACAGGCATGTGCCACCATGCCTGGCAAGGCACGAATATTTGAAAACGTGCACTTACAGAAACAGAAACAAAACACTCAAGATGTCTCAGACACACCATAAGGGGTGAGAATCACTGAGCCTGTATTTAACCTATATTTTTTTAAATTGCACCACTCTACTCACATACAATCAAAGTTCTTAAATGTGCTTTTCCATTTGCTTTATCCTTCTTTTAAATGGCAAACTTTTTAGGAAATGGAATTGATCTCTTAAATGCCCTTTTTTAATACAGTGACTTGAAATAACAGGTTCTCAGGAATTTATGATTGAAAAAAGTTGTTCCTGGGTGAAAATGTAAATTGATTATTCCCAGGATTGAGATAATGGGTAGCCGAGCCCGGGGGCGCACACCTGTAATCCCAGCACTTGGGACGCTGAGGCAGGACGATTGTTGTGAGTTTGAGGCCAGCCTGGGCTCCAAAGTGAGCTCACTGCCTGGCAAGCGCAAAGTCGTG